ATCAGCATTTCTAACTAACTGACGAGATAAAATATTCGCGAATTTCTTCTTTCGGTTCTGTTGAATTTATATCATAACCTAAAAGCTTAGCGAACATTTATTTACACGAAAATTCTCCAATTCGTGAAATTAGGGAAATAATATCTTTCGCAAAAATGTATGGTTTTACAGCATCTTTGCGATGATTCCTGATTGATGTCTCTACATGTAGCATTCTGAGACTAAAATGATGATATTCAAATGTTCGCTTTGAGTTAAAAAATATATAAAAGGATTCCAGGTACATTTTCATACATACATACATCTATTTATTCAGGCGTAGATATCCACTTCATTATAGCATAAATTTTGCAATGTAACAACCACAGTAAAAAAAAATCCAAAATTTCTTTGCCTATCTGACATAAAAACCAAAGCAACAACATATACGCAATTATCAGCAAAACCGATGTTTTAAAATACATTATAGTAATTCTCGGTTATATCGAATTCGTCGGGACCATGATTTATGTTTGCCATATCCGAGGTATCGTATAACAGATAAAAACAATATAGAGGATATTTGTTTAGTTCAGTGTAAGATCGGAATTTATTATATACTTATAAATGAAATATTGAGAAATATTGATGAAATAAAATGCGTATTTTCATTTTCCGTATTTTCACTGTAAAAATTTATTTTTCACTGCAGTGAAACATATTTTCCGTATTTTCACTGGTGTCTTGCCGGACTACTTTCTTTTAAATTCTACCAGTACACAAAATTTAAGGGAAAGTTTTTCAAATTTTATCGCAAAAAAGAGAAAAATGTACATAATAAACAGAAAATTCAAGTTTTTTCTATAAATACATGATTTATTTTCATCTTGTGGCATGAAAATTACCATATTTCACTCGTGGCTACCGCCACTCATGAAATATTTATTTTCATACCACTCGATAAAAAAAATCATGTATTTATAGAAAAAACTTGAATATCCTCTATATATTTCACCGAGTGAGCAGAAAAAGGTATATTTCACGAGTGGCTGCGCCACTCGTGAAATATGAACTTTTGGTGTTCACAAGGTGAAATATATTTTGATCTTACACTAAACTAAACAAATTTTCTTTTTATTACATGCAAAGAAAAGTTTTAAAAAGACATGAAACCTAATACTGAGTGAAAAGCGCGCCAAATGATAATACAACGTGACGTCATTTACGACATCACGTCATTAAGTTGGTACCCAGTACTGTGCACGCTGGTATTTCACTGAAACAACGTAAGGGGCTTACATTCAAAACAGTGAAATTATCAATTTTAGTGGTAATTTCACTGTTTCAAACAGTGAAATTACCAGTTTTATATCACTGATATATTTCTATAAACCACCGAAAAGCAGGTAATAAAAATATATTATATTCAACATAATTATATACCAAACATTATGCACGATTAATGGTTGGACAGCATTGTAATTTATTCTCTAATTATGATAATTTTATTTACACAAATTCTGAATAATTTATTTAATTGCTGACGTCTTGTCAATACGCACTTCAGATAATACACATCAAACTGGGGATTTTGAAATAAATGTATTGCATATCTAAAAAATGATTTTATTATCTATATAAGCAAACATTGGTGGTAAGGTAACATTACTGGTGCATGTACGTATATACGTGCGTGCGTGCGTGCGTGTATATATGTATATTTGTCGTTTTAGAGTTTACCCAGATCACACAATAATAATAATAATAATAATGATAATTATTAATAGCGAGCTCGACGAGCTGGCCCGAAGGGCCTGCTCGCAAAGCGAGCTTTACGGTAACGCGAGTACCTGCTAAGTGATGGTTTTGAAAACTTTCGTCCAAAGTACCGAATTGGACACATCGCAACTTTTCGAATTTAAAGATAACGATAAAAACTAAGGAATTCTGACTGAAAACGGATGTGTAGACTGGTCACCCGCGCACAACCATGGGAACGATAATTGGACAGGGAACCAGAACAACGGAAGCCGTCTATAAAATAACGAATGACAGTTTTAAAACGGAAAATGTAAAATGAAAATTGAAGGCGCCATTTTGTTTGAAAAATCTGATAAATAAAAACATTTTTTTGTCGAATTTTGTTGTGAAAACTATCTAGAATGAAAGAAAATGGTCTAACTAAGAAAATGAATCCGAACACCAATATCTTTTATTCAGTCGTTAACGCTGTACAGACGTTTAAAGTATTGTTTATGTGACGTCACAATGTAGCGCCAAACAGCACGTGCAAAACAATCATATCAAGTACGCTATTTTAATCGTATGTCGCAAACGTTTTAAATTTAACATTTCTTTCACTTTTAATAATCTTTATTTCGCTTGAAAAATTATAGAGTGAAATAAAATAAACAAACAAAGTTTTATCAACGTTTCCAAAACTCGTTATTCATTTAACGACAGGGGCGGAAACAAATTTAACACAGTACGTGTGCCGTCACACGCACTCGTCACTGCATTTGAAATAAAAATGAGCGATTATTTCATACTATTTCACGTTAAAAGTACATCGAGCTCGCTTTGAGGCTTTGCCTTTTTCATATTATAATAATAATAATAATAATAATAATAATAATAGATCTAATAACAACAACAATAAAAATGAATTATAATAAAATGAGCAATAATAAAATCTTTATTTCAAGAATGTAGAATGTAAATGTACAAAGTTTGAATGAAAACTATAAAGATTCCTGTTTTTGCCACCAACCCAACCCAGTCCCCCTCTTGTTTATTACATTTATATGAACGCTTCTGATATCAAAAAAGAGAAATAATTACTTTAGACGACTTTGGAAATTTGTGAGTTTTGTTCTATAGAAGACAGGCACTTTGGTTAATTTGTGTTCAATTCAACGTCATCAAAAAAGGAATATTTGCTTTTCAAATTCTTTCAAAATAATGTATCAACAAAAAGGGACTAGATTATACAGATAAAAGTATAAAATTAAGAAATGATTGTTTAAAATTTCAGCTTTTTTCTGCATCATACAGATAATTGATAAAAGAAAGCAATCTATGAAAGTTCGCTTAAACCCAACATTATTAACATTAATAATCCCCGAAAAGTATCCAAAGCTTTACAAAACTAGCGTAAACTATGTTTTCATTGATACCTAAAGTATGAATAAATAAATAAAAATAAACAAATAACGCGTTTTATTTTCTTACAATTTTACTCATCCGAAATCTAATCTATAATTTACAAGAAAAGTTGCAACAATCGGAAATACGAGAAGTTTCTTATATGAAAGACTTATCCTGAATATGGCAAAACCTCGAAAGGTACTCTACAGCAATTAAATCAAATTGAAGATCGTGAACTCACTAAGTATAACATTTCGGGGAAAATGATCTCCTTTCATAAAATGTTAACAAACCGGAAGCAGATCTACATTTTGTAACTCTAATTAAAGAGCACTTCGTGTTTTTTGTCCCACAATGCCTGACCCCAGTAAAGAACTTCCGGCCAAAGTTTTCAAAACATCCAACTCGAATATACTTGCTTTAATAATGTAATGCTCGCTTTAAGGTAAGTCCTTCTAGCACTAGAAACGGAAATAAGAACAATTGACATGAATAAGCGTTGCATCTATGAGATTGAACAGTGCAGCATTTTAACGACAACAAACTTCCCCAATCAGACAATCTACGCAGAATATTTTGTGTTAAAAAGAATCAAGTTTCTTTTTCTAAACAATAAACGTTTGTATAGGTTTTGCTATCATCAAATGGAATGATATATCAGACAAATTTATAAAGGTCAGACAAGAGTAAGGATTTAATGATATTTAACGTAAAGACCAAAGCAATTAATTGTATATTCCAGGATATTACATAACTTTTATTCTCTAACTATGACAATATCATGCAGTGATAAATGCATAGATTGTATTAAACACTCCATTAACAAGGAGGATGATCATGTTTGTGCATATTCTGTATCTCGCTGTGTTATTGGCGGCTAATGTCAAATATACGGATAGCCAAGGTATGTCGAATTATTTTCTTTACTTCTTATTTAAAATAATAAAAAAATCACGTGACAGACAGTGAATTAAATGTATGTATCCGTATTTAGAAGAATATGTCTTCAAAATTGTAAAGGCAGCGGTGGCATTGTGGTCCATGTGTTTGCCTCTCAATTGTCGAGTACTGTGATAACGACCATGTTTCATCATAAAAAAAACTTACGGTGTCACTTTAGGGTCATCGAGACACAAACACATAACTGGAAACAATGAAAACATAAAATTACGAAGTCGAATTACGAAACCACGATGGTAAGAAGTCAAAGGTACGATGATAAAAAGGTGAATGTACGATGGTGAAAAGTCGAAATAACGCAACCATGATGATGAAAACTTGATATAGTTTCGTGTTTTCACCATCGTATTCCAAAACTTTCACCACCATGGTTTGGATGTTTCGTTTTTTCGACTTTTCACTGTGTGTCTCGATGGCTCTTACTGGACACCGTAAAAACTAGTACTGGTTAGTTCCATGAAACGGACTCGAAATATGTTTGAATAACTAAATTACCATCCCCTTCGCAATCGGGTATATATATGAAATGCTAAAACTTAGCTTGATGCAATGGGGATTTAACTGTATGTCTGTATTGTGTGTTTGCAGCAAAGAAGGTTGGCGATACTCGCAAACGTCTTGTGGAGGATGTAATTTACTTTGTTACCAGCACGGGACGTGTTCACTGGACAACCAACAATGAAACAATCTTGAATCAGATTAACGCTTTAAAAGTAAGACTAAATATGATTACCGTTTATAAATTGAAATAAGAGATGATGCACCACCATCAAAATCCTTATCAACAACAACAATATCATCAACATCATCATCATCCTGATTATTATTATTATTATTATTATTTAATTATCATCATCATTATCATCATCAACATTATTAACATCAATATATTTATCTCCTACGTAGGAGTTAAACAGTCTTAAGTAGTCCTACGTAGGAATTATTAACTCCTAATTAGGTTTTTTTATATATCTCCTACGTAAAAGTTATAAAGTCCATCGAAGGAGTAATAAAGTATTACGTATAAACTCCTAAGTAGGCTTTTTTTTAATTTCCTACGTAGGAGTGATAAAGTCCTGATTAGGCCTTTTATCTCCTACGTAAGAGTTACCATTTTGTATAGAACATGTTAAATTGGAACCAGGACGCTAAATAATAAAGGCATATATTTTGTTGGAAAATTTTGATACGGAACATGTAGATATATGTTGTGATACCTCGTTTTGATTATATTGTAATTACAGGCATATTATGTAACACGTTTTTATTGTTTCTTTTCGCTATTTACAGACTTTTTTGTTTCTTTTCGCTAATTTCTGACTTTTTTTTATTCTTTTCGCTATTTACAGACTTTGCAAAGCAAAGTGTTTCAGACTGTGGACGGTTACCGTGGTTACGAAATAAATCAGAAGATTGATGGCAGTTCAAAATACTGGAAGAGGATCCCTAAATGTACGAATCCCAGCCTGGAAATAGATATCCTGAAGACCGCCGATCAGAGTGTGGTCAATAAGTACCTGAAAGCCTTGAAGATCCAGTTAGCATCGTGCCAGGCTAAACCTTGATTGCGCATGCGTGGACGATGATGATGAGTTAATTTGAAAAACGATTGATTACAATATATGTATCGATGCTCTGTGTGCGTGTGACGTCAAAAACGATTCAGACTTTATTGCTTGCTTTGCAAAACGTAAAAACGTTCTGAAATAACATTTTTAAGATAATAAAAATACATGTATTATGATACAATTGTATACGAATAAATGTGTATTTTACAATAAAATTATTCAAAAGCAGGCGACACTTATTACGTTTTTATGAGGTAGGATTTATCGTTCCCAGTTTAATTATAAATTACCCTCATTACTATTCAACATCTTAAGTTTATTATATTCCGTAGTATGGCGAATCAATGTACGATTCAACTAACTGATAAATTCATTGCATATACGTATGAAAACAATTAAAAAAAAACCTTTTTTAAAAAGAGGGCAAAAACACATCCCACGCGTGAATAACTATTTTATGACTGACATATATCAATGTTTAATAACGTTGTATGATGCCGAAATTTGACGTCAGACCTAATAAAACAATAACGAATCACTTTACAAAAATATAAAAACAGGAAAGGAGAGGGCTGTTCAAAAAATATTATTTACTTTTGTCAAAAATGTGGCAATAGGCCTTCAACTCATAAACAAAGTTGAATCAAAGATGTGTTAAGACATAACATGACTTGAAATATATTTTTTTGAGATTCGTACCATTTGGTGTACGTCTTGACTTGTGTGCAATTTTTCAGATAATTCCTTTACCCAGAATAATTTTTTATTATGCAAAAAGACCATACAATGAAAATTCCTGCAACGCTTTTCAATCAATTTGGAGCTAAGGATCGCACAAAAATTTATATTAATTTAATTCTGAGTATATTCTATATTTTCAGACTTTTCCATTTCGAATGCTTCACTTGATCTATGTAAGAATTACAAATTTTATGTTTTATGTTGTTTTACTTTAATCGGTGGATCTCCTGTAAGTATATTTTTTCATGATGTAGTTTATAGGTATACTGTGCTCCCCATGCAACATTTAAATGTATGATATAAAGAGTCCAAAAGTACATTATCTCTAATTGCTTTTGCGTATTATGCAAGTCCTCAGTATGGTATCTTATTGCCTTTGCGTATAATGGGCGTGCTCAGTATGGTCTCTTATTGCCTTTGTGTATAAAAGGTGAACTCAGTATGGTCGGTCTCTAATTGCCTTTGCGTACAGTAGGTGTGCTCAGTTTGGTATCTTATTGCCTTTGCATATAATAGGTGTGCTCAGTATGGTCTTTTATTGCTTTTGCATACAATGGGTGTGCTCAGTATGATCTCTAATTGCTTTTGCGTACAATGGGTGTGCTCAGTATGATCTCTAATTGCCTTTGCGTACAATGGGTGTGCTCAGTTTGGTCTCTTATTGTCTTTGCGTACAATGGGTGTGCTTCGTATGATCTCTAATTGCCTTTGCGTACAATAGGTGTGCTCAGTATGATCTCTTATTGCTTTTGCGTACAATGGGTGTGCTTCGTATGATCTCTTATTGCTTTTGCGTACAATAGGTGTGCTTCGTATGATCTCTAATTGCCTTTGCGTACACTGGGTGTGCTCAGTTTGATCTCTTATTGCCTTTGCGTACAATGGGTGTGCTTCGTATGATCTCTAATTGCCTTTGCGTACAATGGGTGTGCTTCGTATGATCTCTAATAGCCTTTGCGTACAATGGGTATGCTCAGTATGATCTCTAATTGTTTTTGCGTGCAATGAGTATGTCTCATATGATCTCTAATTGCCTTTGCGCACAATAGGTGTGCTTAGTATAATCTCTAAAAGTAAAAAGCAATAATTACTTGTAGTGGTCATCTTGCAACAATAAGTATCTCTATTATCAAGCACAATGGATAGTAGAAATAAAACGTAATTAAACGCTCCTTAACAAAATATCCAATAGATAAGTTAATAAGGTTATGGAAATTCGAATGAACTTTTCCAAATTCAAATCAAGGCAACACCATTACACACAAATCAACAGGTTAATGGTTTTTAAATTACATGTACACTGTACTAATATTTTGCACATATGGTAACTATGCGATTGTTCTACAGACATTTTGAACAACCCACCTTTACGCTTTGATCGCTGTGCGTGTATGCGTCAAACACGGTGAATATATATACTGTAAGTGTCACACGTTTCATTATAATTATTCAAGATGATTACTTTTACAGCAACGATCGTTGTTTTTTCTTTACTTTATAATAATGTATATACACAAACTGGATCACCCCCTAGTGATGGTTCTAACCCGCATCAAAACCATCCAGAGATAAACAAAGGTAATTTTTAAATAATAATATTAACATATTTCAAAGATAGCAACATTAATTATAAACCGGATAATGGGGTTATTTTTCTTTTCAGATTTGATGTATTAATTTATATGATAACAAAATGCATAGCGATAGAGTGGGTTTTTTTCTCTCCAATGTTTGCTGACAAAACATGCACAGTGGCTTCGTTAGTTTGTAGATATTTATTTCATTTAATTGTTTCTATGGTAAATTGTCGATTTTTATGCCTACATCCGATATATTTTCAAATTTTAAAAATATTATCACGACAGATTGACCTAACAAACATTTTCAATATTTATCAAGCATGTACATTATTTGGAATGAAGATTTATGTTCATGCACTTTTGAATCGAAATTTTGATAATTTCATATTGATTTTTTTTGTCAATTTCAATTTCAGTTCGCAATGAGCATTATGAAATCAGTGTAATGAAAGACTTAGTCCCAACAGATATATGGAGTATAGAAGTGAAAGATAGACCGAACACTGATCCTGTTAAAAATATATCAATAGCCATAGACAGGTGGACACATATGGCAAAAGCCCCTGTAAGTAAAAACAATCTACCTTTTTCTGTTTATATATATTTCTACAGACATAAATCTGTTAAATATTATGCTGTTTTATCTCTAAGCACGTGGTTGGCAACAGTTGCTACCCATGCGATCATCATCAGTGCAGGACTAGATCATCAGTGCCGTTCAGTCATAGACAGCACTTTTTGCTAGTCAGTCCACACAATGTACATGACATGTTTTAAAAATTTCTTAAAAATGCTGAATGGTATTATCTATCTATACTGAAAGATGGACAAGTCAAAAAATATATCGACTCGTGTCAGATAATATCGTATGGACCCGAAGTTGCTTTCGTCTTCTTTCGACAGTTTTCGTTATACCTATTTTAGTACATTTTTGTCACGTGAGAGGGAGTTTTCCATTGACGTCATTCTTCTAAAAAAATTCCAAAATGGCGGCTCGCATTTCATATAAAGGTCCGTAGTGGAACTAACTGTATATAATTTTTGTTTCAGGGATCTACAACTTTTGAAGGCAACGGTTATCAAGGGTTAAAGATCAAACATTTCATCAATGGTAACTTCTTGCATGAATTTAACCTGGCGATATGCAGTAACAACCTCCCATTGGCCATAGTTCATTATACAATGCCGGCAGACAGACAAAACCAAAGTCAACTTAAAGCGGATTTTAAAAAAGCAGTGGACAATAAATGCCGAAAATCTCCTTAGACAGTGAAAAAAACTTGAAATTTAAATATGAAATGGAAGGATAGTGTTCTTAAAATTTGACAAACTTTGTGATACAAATTCAAGAGGAACACCAGCCAGTTATTCAGTTGATATTTTAAAACATGAAGATATGTTTAAGAATCCGACATGTTTTGACAGCAATTGTCAAATACTGGCAATATTTAATAAAATTTAATTTATTAAAATTAATTTTCTAAAAAGTTACTGAAATAAGTTTCTATATATTTTTACAGTAATTATGTATAAAAAATTTGTCAAGCGATGTTCAGATAAAACAGTATTTCAAAGTGATTTGAAAGACCCTGGATGAAAGGAGTTCCGTTCACTGAGGTCTAAGAAAAAAGTAAATACATTTTGTAATTGAAAAAAATAAAGACAAAAAAGACAAAAACCGAAAAACAGTACAAATGTAGAATGTAGAATTTATTACTATGGAAAAACAGAAAAACAGTACAAATGTAGAATGTAGAATTTATTACTATGGAAAAACAGAGTAAGCGAATGGTCTGAAATTTGCCTCACATACTATTGGTATAACCTCACATCAAGTGGTATATAACAATATCGACGATAGAATATTTCCAGTCCCGTCATGGAAAAAACTTAAGTCGAGAACCTTTAATAAAAAAAAATGATATAAAAACAGAATAATATGTTTTATTCACCATAATATGTTTCCGTTGTTTTAATTTTGATTAAATGAACATATCATAATGTCAACTGTTCAAATAAAGTAGGAAGCTTATATGGTATGTGTTTACTTTAAAGCATACGTGTATACCATATCACGTGTTACGTAAAAGGCATAAACAGCGTGAAATAGCATGACATTGATATTCTTCAGATTATACATGATACTGATGGGAAATATCTTAAAGATATTCTAAAAACGAACTTCTGATACATTGTTATTGTATATGTTCTTTTGTCAAAAGCAAAATTTCAATAAATAATAAAAAACTCTTTTTCTTGTTGGATTTTATTTGTTATATAGATCTATGATATTGTTTTAAATAAAATGAAAATATTGGAACACTTTAATGGCCCTAGTCTCATCACCATTCACTTTTCACGTCTTTTATGCAAAGTCCAAATTTTGAAGCATAAAAAACACCCTTATCGGTGAGTACAACATTTTTGTGTTAAAGACAACTGCAAAACTTAAGGAACCCGGTGCATACCAAACAGTGATAGCTACATACACATAAGGGGTCGGGTGGGGGAGGGTAACGTCGCACCAACAAAGTAGAAGTAATGAGGCGTTTTCCCAGCTTTTCTGGTGCAGGAAGACATAAGAACGCTAAGATGAAGTACGTGGCAAGTCCATACTGCATTATTTCAGGCATGACTAGGCACACGTGAAGAGCCATCGACGTTCCATAAGCTAAACCATGCATTGTTTCAAATAAATCCCATGGAATACTTTTTTTATTCTGACATGTCCATATGATTACGGCTTTAACATTTACTCATGTCACAAGTGTTTATCAAATGTCTGTTAAAGGGGAAATCCCTAAAGAGCATGCAATGGAAATCAAAAAGGTGAAAAAAAAAAATAATTAGTTCGTCCCTGAGAACAGCATACTCCTGGCCTCCCTCCCCCGGCACCGGCTTTAGCAGTATACAATTTTTCAACACAAATAAGTACTAAAATGATCAGAAAACAAAACATTTACAACGAACGCCGAGATAAAATACGGGGCAAATCCACAATGTACATCTATACAGTCAAGCCTAAGCCTATTCACTAAGTTTTAGCCTTCTCAAGTCCGGACACATTCATCATACAAATTTAGGACGGAGAGGCTTAAAAGCAGCATGGCTGAAATCTAAAAGAATTTTCTAAAACGCGAAACAATTTCCTCCGGCGCAGAAATGATGCGCAATCACGCCGGAACTATGTTGAGGCAAAATCAAAATATAATAAAACAAAACGCAAACACAAAAGGCTATACGCTATAAGAGAGGGCCGAAAGATAGCAAATATGGCTAAATCAGAACCAAAACAATTTTGGAAAGTGATTAAAAAACAATATAATAAAAAAATAATCAAGTATAAATAATCTTACTGCAAACGACTTGCATGAACATTTTAGTACTCTTTTTGTTCACCGAACAGAGAACAAAACTTTAATATACCCGATCAAGATGATTTTCTCGATAATGATATCACAGAAATAGAGATTAGAAATGCTGTATTTTCACAAAACAATGGGAAAAGCCCCGGTAATGATATGCTCATTGCAGAAATTTTAAATATTCATATGATTTAATATCACCTTATTTACTAAAATTATTCAATAGAATGCTTAATAATGCGGAATATCCAAGATGTTGGGGTGAAAGTATAATATCACCTATATTTAAAGGGGGAGATTTAAATGACCCTAAAAACTTTAGAGGTATAACGTTAAGCAATGTTATGAGTAAGATATACTCACAGATTTTATTAAATAGATTAACCAAGTGGGCAGAAATAAACGAAAAAATAAACGAAACGCAGTTTGGGTTCCAAAAAGGGAAGTCTACAATTGACTGTATATTTATATTGTATTATATTATTGCAAAGACACTTATTGAAAATACGAAGTTATTTTGCATTTTTGCAGATTATGAAAAGACGTATGTTGAAATTGACAGAATTAAACTTTGGCAAAAATTGATTGAAGAAAAAAGTAAGTTCAAAATTAGTATTATCATTAAAGGCAATGTATTCCTCGGTAAAATGTTGCGTACGATATAAAAATGAAACATCCGGGTGGTTTGATTCGGGCGTAGGTCTAAAACAAGGCTGTCCGAGCTCCAGCTTATTGTTCTTATTCTTCGTCAATGACGTCACAACAAATATAAATACAAATATAAATGGTATATTTACAATAGAAGATGTCAAACTTTTTTTTACTCATGTTCGCGGACGACGCAGTACTGTTCGCACAAGATCCCGCAACACTGCAAAGTATGCTCAATGATTTAAAAAATTACTGTAACACATGGGGATTAACGATTAACTCCAAAAAAACAAAGGCAATGATTTTCGAAAAGGGTCGCCATACTAGTTATAAATTCTATCTTAATAACACTGAAATTGAAATCGTTACATCATTTAAATACCTAGGAACACATCTGTTTAAAAATAACAACTGGAACAGAACTCAAAAACGATTAGCACAACATGCAGCTTACTCTATGCATAATTTATTCATTGTTATTAATCAAATAGATTTACCCATTAAAGATAAATGCAATTATTCGATAGCTTGGTAGCGCCAGTGTTAAATTATTCTGCAGAAGTATGGGGCTTTCATGACGGTCAAAAATATTGGAGAAAATTCATACTAAATTTTGTAGAAAAATATTAGGAGTAAAACAATCTACTAACTTAGACTGTCTATACGGAGAATTGGGTAGATTACCGATGAAAGTTATTCGAAAGTCAATTATTCTTAAATTTTGGGTAAAAATTCTAAAATCACCCGATAGCCATATCATAAAGTTAAATATACAATATGCTCCGAAATGATACTGAAAATAATTTATCCTATAATGGAAATAATTGGGCATTCAACATTAGAGAAATGTTAAACCAGTTAGGCATGACTGATTTGTGTGCTTAACCAAAATACTGACATAATAAATTTGACACAAATTAAACAGCGTATACACGATAATTTTACAACAGTCGTGGTATTCACGCATATAACAACACAAAAACTGTGCTCATACTCTCTATTTAAAACATGATTTCGTGTGTGAAAAATATTTAAATGAAATTTCAAAGCTAAATTTAGAATAACCTTATGCAGACTAAGAACCTCGTCACATGATTTAAAAATAAAAACTGTCGGTACATTAATGCACTAGACAAGATAGAATTTGTACAAATTGTAATATGCGAATGGTCGAAAATGAATATCATTTTCTTTTGGTTTGTCCCAAAACACACAGAAATTAGGAATAAATATTTAAAACATTATTACTGTAGATGGCCTTCATTAAAGAAAATTTGAAAATTTATTATTAACAAAGTCATCTAAAGAATTAATTGGTTTAGGCAAATATGTTATTTTGCATCGTGTAATAGACAGAGAAATTAAATTCTTTTTATACTTCCCGTGCTAACTTTTATGTACTTTTTATATTTGAACTTGTATCACTGTTAACATTATATATACTTTATGGCTATAATGTTGTTATAACATTTATGCAAATAAAATGTTGTTGTTGTTGTTGAAATCTATAGATGCTTTCTAATAATCTGGATAGTTAAAAATATTTAATTCTTATTCAATATCAAATTAAATTGTGCATTTCGTAAACATTACATTTGTCCATTATTTTTTTAAGTTTAGAAAAATATAAATATCTATCCTCAATTATAATATATTATTAATTTACTGCAAACTCTTTATGTCAAATATATACCTTAAAACGTTTGTATTAATTCCTTATTCGTACATCAAAGGGCTTAACGTAAAATAAGCTATTTTAAAGGCACATTATGCCTGAGAAAAAATAGAATTTTACGTCTTTTGAAGGGGCAAACATGAATATCATAATGTTTAAAAAATGGTTTTAGAGAAGGTTAGATGCTTGTAACTTGAAGAAAGTAGGAGAAATGTAATATAATTTGTCATAAAAGTAGCCAAATGTAAACAAAATAGTATTTTTGACATCCATGCATAATACAAATTTACTAAACTGTACTTATTGCCAAAAAGCAGCAGACGAAAAAGATGATTCCGTCAATAATTAACATTTTCAATACTATAAAAGTACACGATAACCAAAATAAAAGACCCTTTGAGAAACGTATAATCTTTTCTGAGGTATAATGGGCCTTTAGTACTAAAAATATACTTTTTTTGCAAATAGAACGATTTAGATAAATGCGAAGAGAAACGTTTTCAAGGAATTAGCATTTATGAATAATTAAAATTCACTTCACAAACGCATAAAAAATAAACAAGGCTCTATAAAACTTCACTCAGTTGTCAAACAATAGGCAATAAATTCTCTAATTTTGATGAAAATTAGCATTTAACACATCTAACAGAAAGCCGGAATGAACCTACGTTTTGTATGGTGTGACATGTCTCATCAAAAGGGTAAAAAACAACAACGTCAACTTGTTGTGTCTTTGATCACGGATTTATATTAAAATAATGATCCGTGCTGTTATGTTTAGATAATCTGCATCAGGAAATAATCCTAACACAAACTTTTCTTTGTTTTTGTTTTTTGTCAGCCACATTTTGAATCATTTTCGGTTACTGAGAATAATCGTGTTTTGTCTTTTCTTTTGCCGGACCTCAGCTGTTTTTATTGAAATAAAGTTTGTTACATACTCACGCTTGCTAAACAAATGTAGATGCTGTTGGCAAGTACGAAACCTGGGGCAAAGAATAATAAGGTTATTCTTTGTGCCAGATGATATACATGTACATGATGCGATATTACATTGATTTATATATAGAAGATATTAAAATGGTGTAGAACAAAATATTACCATTCATCATTTAATTGTTCATACTAAATCACTTAGAACTTTATATTAACATAGTTTTCGAACAATATTCTATAAGAAAATCTAAATGCTACATTTCAGTTGTTTTTTTTATCAATATTTTATATTAATATGGAAAATGTGCCCATTACAGACCAATTCACTTTAATTCTTTATTTTTTGTCTTTAAAAATGCTGATGTTTGTTTAACAATCAGATATTTCGTGTCTCATTTAACAAACTATATATAGAAAGGAAACAATGCAATCTTGCTTGACAATAACAAATGACTTTTATTCTCAAGAATAAAATTCAGCCCATTAATGTCATAACATGCTATAAAATTTATATTTTGCTTGCATATTCATTATTCTTTCTATGAATAGATTAAAAAACGGCGGTGCAAATTTGTACTTCACGAACAAACACTGCGTTCATGAAGTGCGATTTTATTTCAAAATTTATATACAGTGGTAACAGAGTAATTTCCCTTTATAGTCAATACTGTATGGGAAAATGAGATATAATGAAATCAAACTGCAAGACACTGGCCATATGCATTTATATAGAAATGAGATAGTTTGAAATTAATTTTTATACCCAACGTTTACAGATTTGAAAGGAAATATCATGACAAAGAAACAAATATTTACTAACAACATCGTTTATTATATACTTATAAATGAAATATTGAGTAATATTGATGAAATAAAATGTGTATTTTCAGTTTCCGTATTTTCACTGAAAATTTTTTATTTTTCACTGCAGTGAAACATATTTTCCGTATTTTCACTGGTGTCTTGCCGGACTACTTTCTTTTAAACTCTGCCTGTACACAAAATTTAAGGGAAAGTCTTTCAAATTTTAATGTCAAAAATGAGAAAAATGTATATAATAAACAGAAAATTCAAGTTTTTTTCATAAATACATGATGTATTTTCATCTTGTGGCATGAAAATTACCATGTTTCACTCGTGGCTACCGCCACTCATGAAATATTTATTTTCATACCACTCGATGAAAATAAATCATGTATTTATAGAAAAAACTTGAATATCCTAGCTCTATATAGGCCTACAGTAATGTTGATAATAATAAAAACTTTGTACTAGTATACATGACAAATCTAAAATCTTATTTTCAAAGTATATACACATAAATAACTAAATTAGTAAATCGGCGAAAAAAAGAAGGGGAAAAAACGGAAAAAATAACAGTCCGATAACCTTTGACTTGTTGCAATAATACATGTATTGGTCTCCTTGGACAAAAGCGTGAGCAATGGTTCAAACATTATCATTCTTTGTGAAGCGTTAATTAATGCATATTACATGTATAATGTACATGTATAATGCACAGAAGAAATCAGACAGACATATAGACAGACGGACAGACAGATATCGACAAAGTAACAAGACAGCGAATGAAAGAAAATTTAAAGTTTAAGAAAAATGAATTGCAGCTTAAGACAGAACTGCAACCTGTTTGACTTCATCGGTACAAGATGAGAAAATTCTTTTTTTTCTGTCTTCAACAAAATTTCATAAATCCTACGGTTTATGCACAGCTACTATTAAAATGTTCAAATCGACAGTTTCTGACAAGCATTTGACAGTCTAGACAAAAATAATGATGTTATTTCATAGGGAGAATGTCGTTACAGCATAACTGTTACTGCTGGAGAGAAAAAAAATCTATTGCTTTTATTTTACTTACTGTTTCCGGCTGGAGTTACATTTGACCCCATTGTTGGCGTGTTGTTACGAGCTGTTGCCGATGCCCCTGTAAGTATCTCAAAATGTTTTCTTATGTACCTGCATAACGTTCGCCAACGAAACATCAAATTTTCCTTGTACCGTATGTACACTGCAATAAAAATGTCCATTTATGACAAAAGAACATCAATCACGGAAACTGAACATAGACACATCAACAAGATTGGTCTGGTTGACGTGAAACGCCTACTTGGCTTTGACAAGCGTAAGGAGGGTTGTCTCAAAAGTAAGCCTTTTCTCTTTATTTTTTTAAAGTAATGAATAAACAATAAAAAAGACGTGTATCATTAAGCTTTATCAAATACTTTCAGTCAGCAATTAAAGTTTAAAATCGTGTCCTTATGAAATATGAAAATGAAGTAGTTCTCCTTATGACACCATGTAAATAAAGACGTTTTCCTTATAATTGTGCAAATGAAGTAGTTTACCATGCATATAAATTGGTTTATTATGAAATCATGCAAATGAAATTGAGCATTCAAACAAAGTAGTTTTTCATATGAACGCATGCTAACAAACTACACTTGTAGTTTTCCTTATGAAAGCATGTATTTATAGTAGTTTTCCCTATGAAAGCATGCTCCAAAAGAAGTTTGCCTTACGAAGTCATGAAAATGAAGTAGTTTTCCTTGTGAAGGTATGCATATAAAGAGGTTTCCCTTTTAAAATAGTTTTCCTTATGAAATCATGCACACGAACAAATGACGAAGTTCATCAAGAATCCAATATGACTTAAGTTCAGATTTGCTTTAGTTTAGAACATGAAATAAATCAAAAGTAAATCAAGTCGACAATTTATTGCTGTGATTAGCCAATTTCAACAATATCATAGCAAATGAAAATAATTTCTTAAGAAGTTAGTACGTTTTGTTATATTTCTCTGTACCTAATGATAGTTTGTGAAACAACAAATCGAATGAAAACAATTGAAGCATGCACTCAGAATTATCAATACGTTTCTGTATAATAAATGAGTAGAATATGAAGTCAAGTCAAGTCAATTCAAGGTTTATTTATAATTCGGAAGGTATCTGCCTTTTTCAATACAAACATAAATTTACATATGGCAAACACACACATTGGTAAATATGACAAAAGAAAAACACTGCATTGAATAAATTTAATAATAAGAAAACACATATTGTGTATGACATATGGTAAACACACACAATGACAATAATAACAATAAAAAACGCTGTATTAAATTAATTTAATACATAGCAAAACACATATTGTATTTGATTTCACTTGTTTTTTAAATTTCAAATAAACATATTTGAGCATCGTTTAAGCGGTCGGTAAACTAGCAGAGTTTGTGTCGCCTATATTAGCAGATATGCTTTTCTTTAAAACTGAAAATTAAAAACGAAATGTACAATTCCAAAAGCAAAATGTACAATTCCAAAAGCAAAATGTTTTATTCTTAAAACAAAATGTACAATTATAAAAGCAAAATGTACAATTACAAAAGCAAAATGTACAATTCCAAAAGCAAAATGTACTATTCCTAAAGCAACGGAAATGTACTATTTCAAACACTGTCCTTGTGATAAAGGAATCAGATTTACTTTTTAAAATGTATTTTTGTGTAGAGGAAACTTTATAGTTTTTTTCCACTCTAAAATACAGGAATTACAGACTTTGTAAATGACCCTTGTTTAACAGATGTTGTTGTTATGAAATTAAACAATCTTTTGAAAATGTTTGATGTTAATTTTTTATGTAATTTTCTTTTTACTTTTTTACTTTTACAGATTTTTGAACGCCCATTTTTTTTTCAAGAAAACTTGAACAAACAATAACAAAACTGTTATGTGTTATGGGAAGAAGGAGCACCAAAAATTAGAGATTATTTATATATGAACACTAAAATCTAAATTGGAACGGTAAGCGGTTTTTAATTTTGAGTCCTTATTCATGCCATTCACTGTAATGGAACAGGATCGTATACATGTTTAATTCCTAACGAACAATTTGTCCTGCTACCTTTGAAAATCACGCTGATTTTGTAAGATATCATCATTCAATGCCTTTTTGTACTTCAACATTCAATCTTGCTTTATCATTTATACAGACTAAATAAAACTAAGTTAATGAGTTTATAATTTTACTCTCATTAATTTTCTTAATGATATTTTTTGTCTATAAAATTGAATTTATGCGAATTGTTATTCTTGCCAAGTTAGCAATAAAGTACTTTTATTATTACTTTATTCATTTTTTTATTAAATGTAAATGAATTAATGAAATGTTATCCGCTTTTTCGTTTTAAGCAGCCCTTTCGCATAAATAACGAAGGTTCTTTCTTTATCCAGCAAAACTACATGTCATATTTTCTAACTACTTTTGATACACCCCTCCTCCTCTTTTCAGTTTAATCTGGACTATCTCACAGCCGTACAATCAAATTCAGTAAAATTGTGAAAAGATGGCCTATGCCTGGATTATATGCCTAGTTCTAGCTTGTATATGTGCAAGAGGTGAAGCCGGACCTAAACATGGACACTCGCACTCGCATCCTCACAGCCATCCCCGTAAGTATTTGTTTTAAGTATTTTGTACTTATTCCAGACTTAATCAATCTTAAGACTTAACATTTTTTTTACTGAAAATACCAAATCATGCTTGCTTCCTTTTTAGTTATGTTGAAAGTTGTCAGTTTTCTGCAGCCTATTTCAAGAAGATTTTGCACACCATTTTACAATTTGACGGAACTAGTAATAATAAATGAATAATTTAGATCTCTTACATTCATTGAACAATCGTACACCGGCGTATATTAAGTCCTTTCAAAGTGAAGGTACTAATTATTATAATCAAACAAGTTAGCATTGTTTTTATGGCAAATGCCGAGTTTTCCGAATGAGTTTCTTGGTTAGCAGTGGGTGACCAACATGATTGACGTGTTGGCTTCAATTAGACACGGCAACAAATGTAAGCATCGTTTAGGATTCGAACTTAAAAAGACAAACTATATCCCTGTAGATATTGTACTAACTTTAGAACCGATTAAAATATTTTAACATGCAACTTATTAGTTATATTTTAAGTATGTTTTTTTTTATCTGCCTCTCGATTTTGAGAGATAGGTTAAAAGCATACATTAAGGCAAACACTATTTTATTGGCTCTTTTCTTCCATTGATCGGTAGATAGTTTATATCACTGTGTATATAAAAACAAAATGATGAAAAAAATGCAGAATTGACCATCTTCCGTAGAACTTAAAACGCCATGTCAGCCCATAAAGTTAGATTGTTTTCACATAGATTCATAAATCGACGTCATAAAACGTCAGTCATAATTATAATAATTTATGTAAAATACTCATTATTTTTAACAATTCAAGGTATTTTGTCATATCTTACTCATTATTTTAACGATTCGACGCATTTTGTCATCTACTGTTTATCTATCATTCCGTTGCAGACGACACAAACCAGGCTGTAGATGAAACAGAGGAATGGAACATTACGCTGGCCGTAAAGTCTGGATCAGAAGACTACAACTGGGTGATTACCATGGAAGACCGTAAAAGAAGCAAAAATGTCGCCCTGATTGCCAAAGCACTTGACTGGTATACCAACAATAAAGTAAGAATCTATGTAGCGGGTTTTTTTGTTTACAATTCAAAGTGACCGTCAACGTATTAAAGTTGCTTGTAATAATTGATCTCTTCACTTAATTAATACATATAGCTGTACATCTTTCAGTTGCACGTCTGTAACATGAACAATGCAATGATGGTCGCCTTTTGCATAATTTTCAGTAACCAATGTTTTTATCTTAAATAAAACACTTTTGACACAATAACTAGAATGGCAATTTTTATCATTGCATTTAATCGCCAATAGTTTGTTTTCTCTTAATGGGTTGTTACGTTACACCATGAATGTTAAAGTCAAATAGTGATTTTACAGCTTTCCTGGTGGAGAAAAGATCCCAGGCGTTCCACAATGTATTATTTTAGGCATAAGCGGGCATCTGAGTAGAGCCATCGACCTTCTGGAATCAATAGTCCCTGGCGAAATTCGAACCTACAGCAGTGAAAGTTTAGTTTTTTAACCGTTTTAATGGTTATGCGATTTTACAGGAAGGAAAAAAACTTGAAGATGTACTCTGACAATATTATAATTTAACAGTAATCTTTTTTTATTACAGATGTCAAAGGACAAGCAACTATCCCCAAGCAGTGGTTATAAAGGCTATGAGATATATCGGGCCATAAAAGGAGGAGTTCCAAAGACCACCATCTTACCTAGATGTACTCTTCCAACCCTGGAGAAGTTCCTCTTGCTTGAAACAGCACCGGAACTTACTGTCAGTGCCTATCACAAAAACATTACCGAATGTTCAATACAGATGTGTAAATTCAACAAAAACAAGACCCCGAACGAATGTTTCGAAAAGGCAGCCCCTTTAAAACTACCAAAGAAT